TTTTTCTAAAAAAATGTTTTTCTAATATGTTATTAAGTTTATTTTTTAAAAAAAATTTTTGTGAGGTTTTTGTCCTGTGTTGCTGAATGATGACACGCATCTTGTGTCGAAAACGTATAAATAAAAGTTTTTATACTTATACTTTTTTATTTCGACGAATGGGCTGCTAGTTACTTTGAAATATGTTTCAACGTCGAAAAAACTATCAAGATATATATATATATATATATATATATATATATATATATAATGTATATTTATAATATCAAATTTAAAATACCTGTTGAAAGTTCGCCATGTCATCAGAGCACTTAATATTGTTGTTATTACTTCCACACGCAATCTTCAAACAGATATGCATCGAATAATAATTTGTACCACTATCTATTACTAAACACACTAATTTAAAAAAATTGCCTCGATAATTTCCATAATATAAGCAATTTTAAATTTAAAAACCCGCAAACAAAAGAAGCCATCTTTGTTATTTATTATGCGCATGGTAATGCCATAACGGAAAATATTTTTAAACCAAATTCACAATTTTTATGAAAATAATATTAATTGAAATTTATTTAATGTATTCTTATTATAAAAAATAGAACTAATTATTTTTAATATAATTAAAAGTATAATCCGTAAAAAATCTAGAATATGTTAACAAATTAAAATATATAAAATATAAGAAAAAAATTTCAAAATTAAACATTGCAGAGAAGTTGGGCGCAAGTAAACAAAAAGTAAAAGCATATAGATAAATAGGTGAGTAAAAGTCTGTACAAGAAAGAAGTAAAAATATTTTTTCAAATATACATTTCAACTCATTTTTTCACTTAATTCATTTAAATACTTTGTGTCTAGTATAAAATTAAATTAACACAAAGAAATGTAAATAAAACATTAGAAATTTTAGGTGTGACATGGATGGTTCTATTATATCTTCAATTATTAGAAAGAGGACGCCTTGTGTTGAACTTTATTTAAATGAAATAGATAAGACGTAAGGAAAAAATATTTATTCAAGAGGGGATAACGAGTTTTTTGTTGTGCATGGGATAAGGTCAATTTGGAGACAGGTTAGGACAACCTTTTATATTAATATCTGATTTGGTAAAAGTCAGTCAGTTTCTGCCGATTCTCCCGTAAAATGTTATGGCAAAGCTATGTTATACTGTATTTTTCATATAAAATGGTACTAAAAACTGTCTTAATTAAATGGTTAAATAACCTAACTAGAAAACGCACAATCTCATTCATAAGATAAAAGAAGAGTGCTTATCATATGTGCATCTTTGTGTAATAATACATGAGTGAAGTTGCCTTTTATCTGTAAATAAATAGCATTTTGACAGTTTTTAGTACCATTTTGTATGAAAAACGCTACGTAACATGGCCTTTGAATGTTGATTTCTTATTGATTAACTGTATTATTTATACATGTCGGAAAGTTCTTTAATTATATTGCTTTAAAAAAACTCGATATACTTAAAAATCACTCATAATTTACAATTTTGAAATCTCATTGTTCATGCAACTCGTCTTACATCAAAAACCCACTTATAATATGCTACATGCAATATGCAAAAAATATTTCTATTATTCCTAATAATGAAACACCGTTTAACTTTTAAGTTTTTAGTAAATATTTAATGTTTCAATATATTAAAAATACTCAATATCATATTATTACATTCGTCACAATGACTACACAATGTGTGCATAAAAATATCTGCCCTCCGGAAAGAATTATGTTAGCTAAAAACACTTTGATGATAATAATATAATTAATTATTATTCATTATATTTAATATATAATATAATTCGCTTACTAAGTATCTTCTTTATAAAAAATATACAACATCGACACACACCATCACACTGAATAATTCACAACTGATTCAATCAATTCCATTATGGTAATAGAAGAATTAAATTTTTATTTTGGATTGAAAAAAGTCTAACAAAACAATATTAGAATTATATATATATATATATATATATATATATATATATATACGAGGTCTGTTCAAAAAGTTTTCGTAATTTTCGTTTTTTCAAAAAAATATTTATTTATTCGTCTACATTAATGTGGTCCCCTTCAAAGTAGTCCCCCCCAGATATAATACACTTATGCCAGCGTTTTTTCCAATTTTCGAAGCACCCTTGATATTCACTTTTTGATATGTCCTTGAGCACTCTCGGCGATTTTCTTCAATCGAGGAAAACCGCCGTCCTTTCATGGGTCTCTTCAACTTTGGGAATAGGAAAAAGTCACACGGAGCCATATCTGGTGAATTTTTGCACTTTGCAACACTTTATTTCATTTTTTACGCAAAATTTAATACAAATTCTTTGACTTTTCAATTCTTCCATTGTAAAAATCGCCGAGCTCAGAAAAACACGTCGAACCTTAGCGACTACCACAGACAAAGTAAACAGTGAATATAGCTGAAAATTTCATCATACTTTAGGGGCATGTATACCAACACAATAAAAAAAA